CCCCCTCTGTGACGGATTCTGCAAACGCAGGGGTCTTAACTGTGACAACTTCATCTCCTGGAGAACAAAGACAAGTGAAAGGAAATTCCTTACTTTTCTTCATTCCACACTTAAGTGGTTGTGCTTCACATTCAGTGTAGAAATGAAAGGCACGCAGGCTCAAACATACTGTAGGCTACAGACGTCCTGAAGTACTGGATTTGGAAGACGCTGGACCGGGGATCAGATTTTCTGAAAAGAAGAATCCGATTTATCATTCAAGATTGCCACAAAAAATAATCCAAAATCATGATTCACATTATGTGTATGGAAGGACACATGCAACATTTGCTATATCATTTGAATGGGAGACAACTGCTGACTAATAGAGAGAGATACTGACAATTGGGGAATAGGTTCATGAACATTCACACCACTGTACTAAAATTCTTATAATACACTTCCTTGTGTCTTCTAATAGTTGAGTGTTTTATGAGTTAGTGTACTTACACATTGTTGTTAAAGTTGATAGAAGGGCTAACCGATAGAGCTGTAGGAAAAAATGGCAAGAGTAATGCATTAATAACTTCTTGCAACAGGACTATCCCAAAGCAAAGGTTTAAGACGTGCTTGAACAGTATGCACACATACCTGACGCAGCCCGACGAGCCAACACATTATTCCCCTGTGAAAACATACAATCAAGAATGACAAGCTTTTAAATGTACTGCACAGAAAAACAACTCTTCAGAGTTTCACAAGCATAAAACGTCTGTAAATATATGCAATCACAAGTTAACATTGGCATCAAGTTAACCAACTATGTCTACCAGTGATAATGTAATTCCATGGGAACTGCAAATGGAAATGGAGTCAACAACAGGGAGAGCAATCACTGCTTTTCGGTCAAAGGTCACTTGTACGCGCTGAACGATGACCTCTGACATAATCTATAAATGATCTGTCAAACAGGTGGCCTGTCCGGTTTTGCATGAGAACTGCAAATGGATAAAGATATTTCTATTTAAGCCACTGATCGAACAGTGGCATTAACACTGAATGACATAAATGAGTGCTAATCTTACTGACAAAGTGGCAATTAAACACCAACACATTTGACATTGACGACCTAGCTTCTAATGCAGCTACAGAAAGTTACACCATGAACGAAAAAACAAGAATTAACTCAATGCCTCCGTTGAGTTGACCACAACCACAATATGACCTCAGCATGACAGCTAAAAGCACCTAGCCTAACTACCCGTACATTTAGCTCAGAGCGGCTAGCATGTTCTTGCTAGCTAACTTTACATAAATATTGGAGGGTAAGTTTTCGTTAACTGAACATGAACGTGGAGCAGACGCTTCGTGCTCAGGTCAAACACCTTTAACGTTCATGTCAACACGTGAGACCACTCAAACGCAGAGGGAAGTGGTTTTAAACTTTAATACAGGCTGCAGCAAGGACTTGTGAAGTGAAGTGTCATACTGTCCTTGGCTTGCACTGTTCCGGCCTGTGCCCGGCCTACTGCAGCGAGCTGGCTAATGCTAATGCTCGCTCTCACACAGCTCAAAGGCAGCGAGGAGTGCTGCCGCGAGAGGCAACGACAACATTTCGTTTGCTTGTTGCCTACCTGGCGGATAGCGGAGAGGGAACGGCCAAAATTCCTGGTGAGACACCGGGAATGGGATAACATGATGGCTGTGTGACAGCAGCCTGCCAGCGGAAGGGAACTCTGGTCACACCGACAGAGCCGAGGAAGCAGTGTGGGATAAACCAAGTGCTCCGAGTGTAGGGGTGGCGGGGGGAGTCCTCCCTGTGGTCCCCTCTAAACCCCTCTGCACGAAGTTACCACTGGCCCCTGAGAAATAATCTACAGTCGTGTAAATACGATGCGCCTCCAACTAGCAACTATAGATAGCACACAGTGTAAAAACAGAGAATAGAAACAAACAATATAGAACAGAAATAAGAGAATAGACCATGCCTAGGCAGGAGCACCCCAGTTTTAACACATTACTTTAGATTAACATTAACAGACATCCGAATCTGTTTTATATACGAATATAAAAACATGGTTAGTTACTCAAAGAATTGAATCCATTACCTATTACTCTTCTGCTACTCCCCAAAAATTGGAAGCCTAATTGCTTTCTCCCCAAAATCCAGACTTACAACGATTAAAATCCAGTTTGGTTTGTTAAAATCAAAGTAATGTGAATATTTTAACCCCTGAACGTAAGTGTTTCCATTTTCCGAGCTAGTTTCCTACACAATAACAAAAGTGAATCCAATGTGATTGGATTGTTTCAAATCAGTAAAGGGGTGCCAACTAATATTTTATCCAATTTTGTATCTAATCGTTGACTATAATATTATTACTGAAATGTATTAGTAATTAGTTACACTACTAGTTACTTTGGAAAGTAATATTATTAGTAGTAAGTAATGAGTTACTGCCCCCACACTGTACAATATGACCATTATTAAATAAATGAATGAAGAGCTGTATAGTTTGTAGGAATGTGACATTTTAGACTAAGTGAGGCTTAAGTTCAATTTAATCAACATGTATGTGGAAAAAAAGGTCTGAACATTAGGAATTAAAACAATGTATCAATTTCTAATGCCACCTTTAGATATTTCTATCCAATGCTTTACTAATGTGCCACACTATTGACATGTTTTTGAGTTTAAATATCTTCACTTGGGGGCTTTTGTAAGCAAATACTGATATATGTGATGTGTGAGTGGGTGAACCCAGCTTTCGATCCGCCCCTGCCTTTAGGTAACAGTGAGAACAGATGCAAACGTTCAACTTTTTCAACAAAAAAAAAGAGACTCCTATCTTTTTTAAAGTTGCTGCAATAATATAGAGTTTTTCTTAAACTTGTAACTTTTTCAACTTGTGTACTCCGGTTTTCACTCCTCTTTTCTTTGTGTTTCTATCTTTATACTGCTACTAATGTTTTTTTTATCCTCTTTCGGTTTCACTAGAGGGAATGAATGGTAATATAGTAGTTTATATTGAATAGGCCTATGCATGCCGAGTTCTTTGAATAAATCCGTTTCTCCTTCCAACTACCACGAGCACACTCTCGCTCCAAGCACCTTACAAACACTTTTTCCTCCTCTTGTCACTATGTGGGTGATGATGATGTCCGACCACCTCTTTGCTTTCACATGGCCACGCCCCAGCCCCGTCTGATGCGCCGTCTCTCTCCTGCACTGCCGCTGGCCAACTCACTCAGTCTGCGCAGGCCATCGGCTCGGCTCCACATCCCGGCAGCAACAGGTACAGTGGTCCCATCACTGGCGCTCTCCCTCTCTCTCTCTCTCTCCCTCCCTCTCTCTCTGTGTGTGTGTGTGTGTGAGCGGCGGTTAGAAGTGCAGCTCTGTAGGAGTGTGACAAAGTGCATGCCTGCAGCTCAACTCGCTACAAAAAAAAACCTCATCACTTCAGTTTTGTGGTTTTTTCATGCGACATTTGCACTCGTGTTTTTGACACTCTCACGCATGCTTTCACAATACAGCTGCCAACTCTAATCGCATGTTTGGTGAGTTTCAAGTTGTTTGGTATTATTAGTTTTTTGTTGTTATTATTAGTTTTTTATTGATATTATTAGTCTTTGCGTGTTTATTGGCTGTTAAGTGATTGTTGTTTTAGGTTTTAACTCTAAAGTATTTGGTTTGATAATTGGGATAATGTAGGCCTGTAGCTTATTTTTAAGGTTTAAAGTAGACAATTAAACCAGTCTGCACCTTCATAGTTTTGCTAAAGATTCATATATAAATTGGTTTCCAAATTTTTAAATTTAATTTCAGCAGTAAATTTGATGTTCTTCTTTTGGGTAGTGTGTGTCAGCCAATTCAACATTTATCCACAAACGGGTCTACAGCTTGTTATATTGCAAGAAATGTACAAACTGTAGGGATTGAAGGAAACATTGAAATGATTCATACTGTACACAAATTCTAGGAGAATTAAATTATCTCAAACTTTGCGTTGTGGGATAAGAGAGTCTGCTTGTTTTTCTCTTTTCCAAACCAGTTTGGACGTTTACGTATATTAAAAGTAAGAAATAGAAACATAAGTGGGACTAATGGAGTGATACAGTGTCTAATTTAGAAATATACAGTAGAATCTGTTCTTTCCAAGGTCAGCCGTTCCATATATATATATAAATATGTTGAATTGGTTTAACAATGAACTTGCAGCCCGTTGTGTGAGTATATCGTGTGTTACAGCAGAGAAAATATTTTAAAATAAACAGTTAAAGAGAATAAAGCCAGTGACCACAGAATCGAGTAATTAAGCCTTTTGTTTTTAGCACAGAAGACCATCACTTGATCATTCCTTAAGATGAAAAATAAAAGGTTTTCATGATATTTTCTCTTGTTAATAATGTATACACAGAGCCGTGTCTTGTGCGTGGTCTGTGGCTTTCATAAGCTGAAATTTACCTTTCATGGGTATCTAACAATTGTTCTTTTTATTCTTTGTGTTAACCATTATTGCAACCCCAAGATGAAATGATACAAAAGATCAAGATCAAGGATTTCTTTTCTTTACAGATCTAAGGGTCTTCAAAAATGCAGGGTTCTTTGATTTCCTATCATATGTGAAAGTAATTCTACATTTGTTTTTTAATATAGTCATTTTAAAATCACAAGTGAAATTAGAAGCTTTGTAAACAAAATGACAGAATTACACGAGGTTGCATCTATTAGATTAATATTATAAATGTAATTTTACAATATACGAATATACTTTATCTTTTCTATCTACCCAAAGCATAAAGAGACATTACATCATATTGTCAGATTTATTACTTATACTTACTTATTTATTTGTCTTTTTTACTTTGAAATGTTAAAGAGGCAATCAGCCTCATATATGCATATGACGCATATAGGACTAAAAAAACACAAAGGGTTATACATTTAATCTTATTTTAAATGTGTTTTTTCATTATTTTTTATCTTAATTGTTTTCCACTTTTCTGTCATTTCAGATTCTTGCATTTCACGTAACTCTGATTCTGTAACGTGTGTAGTCGAAGCAGCTTTCTGAGTGAGGATGAACCTCAGTCATCCCGACCAGAACATGCACAGCTCCATTGAAGGCTGCCTAGAGGACGATAAACCTGATGTCATGTTGCCTTGCTTCCGCAGAAACATGTATGACGAGCCTCTGGCCTCATACTCCAATGGATCCATCATCTCTCAACTCCTCCGCAAGACAATCCACAACAAGAGGGCACTAGATGATAGCCATTTCTACCTTTCCAGCTCCACTGCCGTTGACTCCAGCCAGGAGGACCAGAGCAGCGTCTCCTCAAAGGACAGCACGGTGGAAGCTGCCTCTCCCACTGGTCATGTTTCTACGGCAGCCAGCCCAGAGAGGGAGCATCCCATGACTGACCACCTGCAGGCCAAGAGGGCCAGAGTGGAGAACATTATCAGGGTCATGGCGGGCTCTCCCAACAGCAGGCAGCATGGAGACAGCGAGAGGTCTGACACAGATGCCAGAGACAACAGAGAGGCCAGAGAAGCATACAGGGAGAACAAACGCAAACAGAGGTTGCCTCAGCATCAGGAACACAGTGTTGGAGGACCGACAAACAGAAGACCCGCAAGCAGCAGTAGTGACAACAGCAACACCAAGGATGAGGAGTGTCACAAGCTCAAAGAGCAGCTCCACAGCATGCAAAGGCTCCTGCGTCAGCTCCAGGAAAAGTTCCTTCAAGTTTACAACCAGGAAGACCCTGAAAACAATGACAGAGATGAGACAGAAGTTGCTGTTGAGCATGACACCCTGGGAGAAAGCATAGCATCACACTACATAAGCACTGAAGATGATTTTGAAAGGAAGAACAGCAGAGTGACGGCAGAGTGTAAGGACCGAATGAAAGTAGTTGGTTTTCTTGTACACCAAAGAGAGAGTCAGAACCTAAAAGAAACTCTGAAACAGGAGCTCTCGAGGGCTGTGAATGACTGTGTGGACAGGGTGTTCAAGAAGGTGTCCTCCACAGGACTGGACCCGTCCCCTCAGCAGCGCATGTGCTCATCTCCAGAGATGCAGATCAGCCTGGGCGCAGACAGGAAGAGCCAGCAGGCCGGCTCCATCCAGGAACAGCCCCAGACTGAGGAGGCTACAGTGAAGCCCCGCTCTATGGAGTATTATGAAAGCTCCGAGGCTCAAAGCCCACAGGACCAAACAGAGGCGCTGTCGCTGGTGGTCCGCAAGCCGTCAGTGACCCCTCTGAGTTCAGTCAACCCGACAGTGAAGAGGCCCTATCCTGTGCACCAGACACCATTTCAGTTCAATTACAGCACCCCTCTGCATGACAGCCAGATCCTAGAGCATCTTCTTAAGTACGGGCCCCATTCCAACTTTGGGGGTCTCCCTTGCATGCCTCCATCAATGGACAGGACCTCCCCAGACTCAGTGGACCTGCCCTGGGACACCATCGCCATGAGGTCCAAGGTGACATCCAGCCACCTCGGCCACCACGCTCGCTCCTCCACCCTGGGGGCAGTGACAGTGGACAATCTGTGTCTCCCTCATGTCAAGATCGAGTGTGGCGAACTGCAGAGCATGGCTGAACGGAACCCCTACATGTCACTCAATATATCCTTTCACAAGAAATATTAACCAGTAGGGCTTTGCTTTTTGCCATTTCTTGATGCAGGATTAAGAACTATATATTGTTCATTAATGATGATAAAATATATAAAAAATACCCAGATGTTGTGAATATGTTTTTGACATATTAAGGTTTAAATTTAGTAATGACTTTACTGTGTAAATACAAAACAGCTTTCATAGAATGACATTTGATTATAAATGTATATACTCGGAACTCAAAAAATCTACCTGCACAAATTGAAAAAAAAAATGCAATGAAAACCATCATAATATTCTGTACTATTCCCATTACAGCAGGGTTTGTTTAGATATACTGTATTTACCTTTTTTATTTTATACAAACTCTCTATATATCAGCTCTTCCATCTGAACAATGGCTGGTTGAGGTTCATTGCAGCATGGGCAGTTCCAGTAACAAACTTCAAGGAGAATTTTTTCTTTGATCTTGCTAACCCCATAGAAAATTATAGCGTCTTCTTTAATCTGAGCAGAGTAATGACTTTAAGTTTAGAAAAAGACAAATAAAAAGGAATACAAGGCTTTGATAAGAATTGCCAGGAACAAAAGCCAATTTTTCAAAGGCAGAGAAAGCATCGGTTTCTGTTTCAGGAAGCCTCGTTTTTTCAGACTTGAAAAGGTGCAGGATCTATTTCTCCATCATCAGAGTGATAGGGGTGCATCTAAAAGGTCACATCTGAGTGCTGGTAGAAATCAAAAGTGCCTCCCAACCATAACACTTGAGCTCTTGTCTTGAGCATTTGTTGTTGGATACCTTTGTCAGAATGTACATGATTGCAATAGAGTGCAAGATAACAGTATTTTTGCCTCATAGGTATAAAATCATTCTAAGATTTCTATTCGTTGAACAATTTGGCTATTGTTTGGAAAGTAAAGTAACATTTATTTAAATGATGTTGATGTGTAATCCATGATCAGTATGTCTAGAATAATAGCAACATTTCATTATTCTTTGCCTAATTTGATTGAAAGTGTTCAGGTTTTTTGATTCTCCTGTAGCAAGGCATTAGAGAGGAATAATATGAGGTGCCTCTCAGGATTCGCTTTATCTTTACAGTGCAAAGAGCTCTGCTTCTCTTTGAACAATACCAAATAAATCTTTCATCCCAACTTCCTTATTTCAAAGGTAGGGTTCCCTAATAAAATGTATGGTATGGTGACTTGATAAGGAAATATTATGACCTAAGGCATGGTGGTGGACTACAGAGGAAATGCTCCTGAGCGTCTTTATTGCCATAGGGGGAAAACTTGAGAAGGTATTGAATTTATTCATATTTGCAATAAAGGAAATATATGTTGAACAAATTTTCCACCATTCAAATTATTTTAATTATACCATATAACCCAAGAAATGCTTTAAAATATATATAATCTGCAACTTATTACTTTTTGGTAATATTTGACCAAATTTCCAAATTTTTTTCTGAGGAAAACATATATAGCGACATATGCCGTCTTTAAATCAAGTCAGCTCCTTTTTCAAAACATTTCAAAACAAGCTGTCTTAACTGCCAGGCATGAAGTGCTTCGCTCTCTAATTAAAAATCCCTAATCTAATTCGTAATTCTGTTTTGCCAATAAGCACATGTTAGGGTCATTATTGACTCCCTGGTTAATGCCGAGCTGTTCTTTAGGGAAATTCAATTTAGCTGAAGATTGAGGCAACACAATACTCCGGTCTACTATCACTTTGCACAGGACTGTATGCTGCATGTTATATTTAATTGTCAGCTTTTCTGCCTTAACTTGAACGTGAACATCCAGGAGGGTCTCACCCCGAGCCATCTGAAGAAGGCAAAGCTCATGTTCTTCTACACCCGCTACCCCAGCTCCAACGTGCTGAAAACCTTCTTCCCTGATGTCAAGGTATTTATTTTTTTTTTTTACATACAAAATTATGCCGCTTTTTATTGTGCTTGTCAAACAACCTGCAGAATTGTTTGTCCCGCGTTCAGCTCCCTGGTATCGACTTGTCAGTGTGTGTTTGGGACAAAAAAAATCAGCAGCGTGTCGGAGGAGAGAAACAAAAACGCAGAGGGTTTAAATAACAAAGCCACTGAGCTGCTAGTATGTCCTGGGGGCAGAGGGAGATACAGGGGCATTCTCTCTTTAAAAAAGCCACTCCAGTCAGCAAATGGAGTGACAAAGGACTCTGTAGGCAAGGCATTGCTATTGAGTGTCAACACAGAGTTGGTATTAGAGACTTGCGCAGCAGCAACCAGGCGGTGGTGAGCTGGCCCTAAACACAACATCCTGTGTATTTTGGCCTTGGGCTCATGTCATGCCTCCTCTTCTATCTCCTCTTTTTGTCTTCTCTCTTGTCTCCTTATCTGTGTCTTTTTGTTAGCTCTTCCCATTCATCCGATATATTCCAACTCCCTTCTTTTTAATCTTTTCCAATAGGAACAGTATATCCTTCCTGATTATAGCACCATCTCCCCCTCAGACCTCCTCCCGCCTCTAGTTTTTTCCTCTCGAGTTTCTCTCCCATCTCCTCTACTATCTCCTCTCCTTCCGCCACGGCTCTGGATCTCTGAGCCAGTGCGGGCCCCTGCTTCTCAATCTGCTCTGACCCCCGGGGTCAGGGGGGAGGATGCTGTTGCTGCAGCACTGCAAACGTCTCCTCCTTGCTTACAATCCCGTGGTGGGAAGTGGCACTGAACAAAAGAGCACCTAATCCCAGTGTCTGATTCCATCCTATCAGCCCGAGTCAATGAGAGGGAAGCTTCCTTCTGTCCTTATGCTGCCGCTTTCTCACCCACCACACCAGAGAGAAGAAGCGTCTTTGATGCCTGCCCAGCCCTTAGGCATTTTTTTCTGTCTTTCTGGATGAGGAGATAGAATAACAAGACTAATGTCAAGACTGAGTTTAGAAATACAGAGCCCTGACAGATGTTTTTTCACCCCGGACATTGGTGGGAAAGGATTAGAGCAATTAATGTTGCGTAGAGTGACAGACCATTTGGTAGCTTTTTGCCCTACAGGTACCAAATTCAGGTTTTCAGCCAATTATGGAAAGGGTGGCCATTACATTTTTAATTAAAACATAAGGATTCATATTTTTAAATTTCTATATGCTCTTGTTGAAGTCTGAAATTAAATTCTGACATTACCCTTTTCATTTATCCTGAAAACGGCGATCTCTGCTTTCATTTGCTCTCTTCACAGGGAGATCACAGGTCAGAAAAGCACTTCTGGAGCTGCTAGGGATTCGTTGTTTTGCTCAGGGACTCTTCAGCCCGGCAAATTGTTGTGAATGCAGGCGCTTTGGTTGCAAGAGGGTCCTTTTAATACTCTGTTGTAAACGTATGAATGGTACTAAGTGAAGTATTTTTTTCTCCATTTGCAGTTCAACCGCTGCATCACCTCTCAGCTGATCAAGTGGTTCAGTAACTTCAGGGAGTTCTACTATATCCAGATGGAGAAGTTTGCCCGCCAGGCCATTGTTGATGGCATCAGTGATGTCAAAGACATTACAGTTAGCAGGGACTCAGAGCTGTTCCGGGCACTGAACATGCACTACAATAAAGCCAATGACTTCCACGTAAGTGTCACTCATTAGTCATTCATTCTTTTATGTTGCAGTTTGTATTGTTAGAAGGGAGATCATTCTAGCTGATTTTTTGCTCATGAGGGTTTTCCATACAGGTACTTACTTACTCACATACATACACTCTGGGGTAGATTAACAAGGTTTTCTTAATTTGGAAGAACATATTTTTAGTTTTGATCTCATCCCTGCCCCACAGGGTAATCTAACTGGAATAATTATTTTTTTCATCTCTACATAATTAAATTACATATATTAGTGTGTTGGGGAAAATACAATGGCTGCTAAACCATAACTAGAGTCAGTGTGTGGTTTGTCCATTCTGAGCTACTGTAGAAACATGGCAGTTCAACATGGTGGATACCATGGAGGAGGTTCCACTCCCTCTGTAGATATAAAAGACTCAGTTTAAGGAAACGAAAACACAACAATCTTTATTTTCAGGTCAGTATACACTAAAGAAAACACACCTTAATACCATGAATACTATATTCCATTATATGGAATATGCTTATTTGTTTTCAAAGTTACAAGGTTAATTTATTTATCATTTTACAACACAGGATTGTATAATGAATTGCAAGTGGAGAGTTAGATGAGAAGTATAATGCCACTCTTCCTTTTGTCATTCTTGTTCAACATGAAGCTACAGCCAGCGACCAGTTACCATAGATTAGCATAACCTCTGAAGCCCAATTCACATTTACACACATTTACAACGAGACGAAATTGTTTTAGAATTTTGCAGGGTAAAGTTGCAGCAGTGTGAACTGGCTTGATTCAAGCCGGCAACTCAGCTTGTCCAGTGCCAGTGGCTGGTTTTAAACACAAGGCACATCATCTGTTTCTTCAGACATGCAGCTCATCAATTTGTTTCATTGAAGCACCAAATTTTTCAACCCTTACATTTTTTTTATGTTTTCGCTGTTGTCAGTACTAGAAATACAACTGTCATTCTAACTCACTATCACTCATTCCTCATATAAACTGAAAGGTTTTCATGATGTTGCAGACAACAAGGTGCCTAAAAAATAAAAGAATAAAGCAGAACAGCATGGAACACTTATTGTGTTATAGTGTTTTCAGGATGTTGCAGACTGTTGCATTGCAAGTAGTTGCATTTTTCAACTCATGTTGTCACAAATCTTTGGTCTAAACTGGGCTTCAAGCTCACTAATAATCACTCATTTTTTAATTCTGAGCAGTTGCCAAGGAACATTGAATTGCAAAATTCCCATTTTTACACTTTGTCTTTTGTATGGATTAAACAAATGAGCTGTTTGTAATTTGTGAGCTCTAGAGGTACTAATAGTGTTGTGTAGTGTTTGTCATTTTTGGACAGGCTAGTTGTTTCCCCCTGTCTCCAGTCTTTACGCTAAGCTAGGCTAACTGGCTGTTGAGTTTAGTTTTATATTTCATGGACTGATGTGAGAGTGGTATCAATTTTCTCATCTAACTCTCCACCAGAAAGCAGATAAGCGTATTCGCCCAAATGTAGAACTCCTCCTTTAAAGCATTAGTTGGCGCATTTCATTCATCACAGCAGTTACTAACCTGCTGGAGTATGTCCTCCTGTCAGCATGTAGCTGTGGTCACGTATGTCCGTGTGCTGACCTGTTTGTCACACTGCACCTGTGGCTGGCCAGCCTTTACAGCCATTATCTAAACTCCAGAGTGATGCTTTATCAAACTGTGGGAAGAGGAAGCCGCAAAATCCCACTAAAACAACTCAGGATTAGAGGACCAGTACGCCTGAGCGAGACTGAGATTGCTACTGATGCGGAATGCTGAGAAAGACGCTGTGGATTCCGAGGGAGAAGGCCGTTTGGTGGGAAAGGGACGGGACCGTTTTCTTTACCTTGGGACCAAGACATTCCTTTCCCAGGGATGCTTTTGTGTCAGGAGATGAGGGGAAAGAAAAATAACTTATGCCAACAACTGTTGTGCTAACTGGTCAGTGGATGGGAAACAAGGGCTGCAGGGCGGTTTTCTCCCAGCATCCCTTGCATTCAGACTTTTTATGGATCCTGCCGTATGGGTCACGCTCTAATTCTTACCTCACCTTTAACCATTCCAAATCCTTACTTAACCACAATAAGTTTACACCTAAATTTAATTATCTAAAGTCTTATATCGAATCATTTAATGTTCAGCTTCTGGCCATATTCTTTGATTCATAATCATGTTTTGTTGACTGGCCCTGACAGTGCTCGGTAGAATCTCTGGGAAGGAGAGCTCATCAGTTGAGGTTCAAGAAAACAAGACTAGCTAATCAAAGAAGTCTCTTAATCAAAGTTAATGATTGCAGCATTGCATTTATTGTATGTGTGCAGAGAACAAAGAGGTGAGCTCCCTTTCATCAGTTTGAGTGTTTGAAGAATTGCGCTACAGGTCTTCATTTCAGATATTTTTGACTTTGAGAAAACTGAAGACAGATTGAAACACTGCATCACATGGAGTGCTTTTTCACAATTAGAATAAGGTTTAATCTGGATTGATTTCACTTGTAAGTATAATTTTTCCCCCTCTTTTACAGGTTCCAGACCGATTCTTGGAGGTTGCTGAGATCACCTTGCATGAGTTTTACAATGCCATTTCTGCAGCTAAAGATTCGGACCCCTCCTGGAAAAAGGCCATATACAAGGTGATCTGTAAACTGGACAGCGACGTCCCCGAGGACTTCAAGACATCTTCCTATTTATAGGCAGAAGTGGAGAGTTATACAGTGAAGGAATTGAAGTTAGTCGCTTGACAGTATTATTCATCCTTTCTTGTAGTGCATTTTAGTGAGGTGAAATGTAGATGTTGGATAATTAATCATTTTGTAGATCTGTAAGCAAAAAAAAAACATACACACAATTTTATCTATAGTCTAAAATGCTGTATGTTCTACATTTATCAACAAGCAGATACATATTAATGCTCTTGTGGTTTATTTTATTGTTTAGTGTTTACTTATATAATCTGCCTCAACGCATTTAGAGAGTTACTGAGTTTGTAGGTGTGTAAAAATGTTTACAAAGTGTAATCATGCTTTTCCATATTATTAAACTATAGTGTAGCCTGATTAAGTTGAACTGGAAGAGTTTTTTGGCAATTACCGTCAGTATTACTTTGCTTTTAATTCCATTTCATTTTCATAACTGTGTGTGTTGTGTAAATGTACATGCGCTGCCGTTGTATGTTGCATAATGTTCTATAATTATGTTGTAAACTAGTAGCTTGACAGAATGTGCATGTGAAAATAATGCAAGTGACTGTCATGGGTTTTATTATCATGTATAAAGGTCATGTAAAGTACAATAATTTTCAGATATTTCAGTCAAAGGCATTGTACTGGATGATTATTGAAATTAAAGATGCACTAAATTATAATATAAAACCTGTGTGTGATTTTCTTTTGGGCAATAATCACTACATTAATGTTTAAAGAAACAAGACACACCAGGTAAATGCTTTGTTTTGAGTTGTAAATGTTTAACTCTCCCTATGAAAATACTGTGCGCCACTGCCGAGCCCCTAAGGTGCCTCTAATCCACGTCCAGCAGCCAGCTGTTAAATGTCCCCCAAACTATGCTGTTCACATTGTTCACCGAAGCCAATTCAAGTCAACTTTCTAAGGCCTGCATTCATTGTGAGGCTGCTGCGGATGCAGACAACTGCCATGTCTTAAAAACAGCCACAATGCATTCCCTCCTAATGACTAATGCCCGAGGTGACCTCATATCACAGTTGTGCCACCAAAGCAAAATTCCACAAACCCGTTGATGCTTTCTTCCAGGCACCCACTCAAAGAGCTCTGATCGCAAACACACACACACACACACACAAGTTTGGTGATGTCACAAAAATCACAGATGAGCTACTTTTGAGGCCTTGGGCTTAACATAAACCAGAAAAATCACAGCAGTGGATTAAATGTGATCAATTAAATTCCAATCATATGTTTCACTGGGAACGAACAGTGTTGAAGTATTTAGCACATCAATACTGTTATTGTATGTTTACAAGTTATGTTATCTGTAAAACTTAAAAAAAAATGGCAACAAGGTGCCTTGAAATTAAAAGAATAAAGCAGAACAACATAGAACACGTCTATAAAAGTACACTGTTTCTTGTCACTGTGTGAGATTACACTGTCAGTGCCCAAAACCAAAACATTTAATTGGAAAACCTGTTAGGCACCCAAGCACCAATTACATCAGAAATGATAACATTAAGGAAATTAAAACATTAGTTGGATTGGTTGATGACAAAGACTGGAGACAATAAACCTCACTAATCTTTTAATAGACATTTCTTTTCAATTAGATCTGTCTTCTTATTCAGTAAATTGATTTACATTCTCAACTCAATTAAAATGCCTCTGGTCGAACCAAAGTGCTTTGCTCAAATTAATTTGTTGTGTAACATTTTCTGAACAAGACTTGGTCACCTCTGATATAATGAAAGAAAACAAAGAAAATACCTTCAGTTGTTTAACTGCCTCTGGCTGACAAGGCTTCAACTTAAACAGTGTGAGATGAAATTACGTTCTATATTAGAGTCTCAGATAAAACAAAGCACGCTTTGTAATGAAGATGAAATGAAAAGGCAACGGGACGTGATCAAATTCAAACAAAAACACTGTGTTTGAATAAATGTATTGTATTATATGTTTAATTTCCTAGAAAGGCACATTTATACTAAACGCAGATTTTGATGAAGCTGTAGTTTTCTCAGTCTAAAATTTGAAAGACACACTGAAAGAGACAAAATAAAGAGAATTAAATCAGAGTCAGTCGCTGAGTTCTTGGAGATAGATGAACAGAAAAGAGTAACAGCATCATCTAGTGAATATGTTCTGTAATACACACAGTTCAGCTCACCCCAAAGTCAACTCATTCATCTCCAGCAGAGCAAGTATGAAGTATCTTTAATGTACATAAATTGTTTTTTTGTTTTTTTTTTAACATTTTTGTCAATCATTGGCATTCTTTTAAAATTAAATATACTCTTAAAATCAATGCTTTAAACTTGTTAAATATGCTGCATCAAATTCTGTTGTGTGCGAAAATCACCACAGAGGGGTGCACTTGTCACTGGGTAGAAACTAAACTGCAGTTGAGGGATTCTTCAACACAGCTCAGAAAGGACTTCAGGGAAGAGGACACCGTGAAATCTTCTATAATTGTCAGCATCATATTTTATACATTTGTGAGTTAGAAAAGCACGGCTGATTGTGCAGTGTCAGTGCATGTGTGTGGTGTAATATTAATGGGAAAAATGAGCCAGTGTCTCCTTAGCAGGGTCCTGGAAAGACAAAGGCAGGATCAAACATCCCTGAGCTGGATACCCTTTTGTCTCTAGCTCAGGGATGTTTGATCCTGGGGGACTGGGGGCATTGGGACAGACCCTCTGTTTAATCTCCTGCTCACAGATACAGGGCTTTTTGGCAGGCTCACACTGGGAGGGAGCAGGGAGCAAAGGGGAGTGCAACTTGAGAATGGAGGCCGCTGACTTTAGGCTGCCCTTCAGACAACCACTTCTTAGTGTAGTTTGGTGTGATCACCAGTAAATCTTTATTAATTTTAATTGGAGCCCCCATTTAAAAGAGCAATTAAAGCGGATTAATCGAGCCCATCCCGTATAATGTCTTCTGTTAATTAGTTTGTCAGCACTGTTTTAATATCGCTTAATGACTTCATATTTCAGGGATGACATTAAAGGGATGCTGAAGGAAAAGAAATGGCCTTATCACAATGCGCTGCTTTAATGGGAGATGTCCCCCGCCAGCGGGCAAGGTCAGGCCTGGGGCCGCTAGGGAGGAAGAGGCTTCAGGGTGGCACCGAAGCAGCCACCTCCAGGGATACACTGCCTCTCACACACTGCCACAGTCAGTGTCAGTGTTGTACATACACTCACCCTCATTCACCCAGTCTACAAATAATTCTAGGAAAGAGATGAATGGAGATGTGTGGAACCTTGTCAGATTCTGTTTAAAATACCTCAGAGATATTCGGATGAAAGTGAGGTTGGAAGATCAGTTTTACATTTTTATGGCCCTTTTGCCTTGTCTATTATGGAGAAAGATGGAAAGGTTTAGGGGAAACAGATGACGATGATATAACTGCAGGTGACTATGTCACTAGGATGCACCATCCACTGCTTTATCTTCACATCAACACTGACTGACATCTATAGCAGCGGTTCCCAAAGTGGGTCTCATGGCATCCTGAGGTACCTTAAGGATGGAGTGCCACAAGATATTTTTCACTGTTCAACTTCATACTCAATTGCTATTGCTATCCAACATATCTGTATGAAAAACAAGACAAGGAATCAACCGTCAGTGTGAGAGTTTTTTTTAAATTCAGCAACATAGTATGAAACGGCTGACTTTTTTTCTTTGAGAGATTGACAATAGGCCATCAGCGTCATCTGTTTTATGACTTTGTTTGAATAAATTCATACAACAGATACTCCATGGTGCCATTGTAGGTGTTTTGGGTGCATGGGTGTTCATGTATTGGGTGGGTGGGGTGGAAAAGAGGATCAAGTAGTTTCCATAGTTTCAGAAAATTGGGGACCGCCAAGTCCAACATAGAAACAGAGAAAAAAGAGAAAAAATGCATAAAACGTGTCGACTGTTTATAGGACCTTGGTCATTCTCAACTTTTATATGGTGATGATGCACAGTGTACCAGATGTTTAAAAGAAGCATTGAAAAACTGAAAATGTTCCTCTGGAGGATGTCAACATAAAGTTCAACTACTGTAACAGTGCCTTCCATAGTGCCTGTACATTAACACGTGATGCTCTCTTCACAGTGACACCAAGCTAAAGGTGGCCAGGCAGCAAGAAGTTGATAAAAACCAACAGCACATCCTCCTTATTGCAGCCCTGGCTGGCGTGCATCCCTGCTAATTTGAGTGTGCCCTCGCACCTCCACTCTCCTCAGCAGATTCATAAATCTCATTCCCATTATCCCGCTAATTAGCCGGGATTACAGGAGCATGTAATGCCCCCGCTTCCCAATAGATTGATTGGAGGACGGTCTCTTTGTTTTGAAATCACTTCCTGATTGATGTACAGAGCCCTAGTTTGCAATTGTAATGGCCCAGATGTTAACAATCAAATGCGTTTCCGCTCCAGGAAGTAACAGTCTGTCATGGAAGAGGAGCCAGCCGAGCGTGTAACGACACATCACAGGAGTGTGGGGAAGGAGGGACTGCGGAGGAGGGGATGGAAGGGGGTGTGGGGGTTAGGTACTGGAGCCCTGGCTTGAATTGCTGCTGAGAGAGGGCATAATGTCCATGCCCATACTAACCATCTGAACTGTACCTAAGATGCTGTGCTTTTTTTGCAGCAGAGAATTGTTTATATTGGCTTTTCTGATTCTGGATCTGGGTTTTTTATAGCTTGAATTGGCCCCTCCCTCAGTATGCTTATTATGATTAAATATGGACATACTTAGAGGCTCACAGAAGCTGGTTTTAGGTCCAAAGACATACAGAACCCTTTTCCAAAACTTCATCAGCACATTAGTGTTGAAGAGGTTATCAGTGCCAGTTTCCATGGTGCTCTGTCAAAGCGGTCCCCTTTGCAAACAGTAGAGGGCACTATTGTCTAATCAAACTGGATCCTTCGTCTTCCTCCTCATTCCTTTTTTCTTACCCTTCACCAATAAATCACTTTCCCGGATAGTTAATGGATATAGAAGCAGATCATGAGTGAGCTATCTGTGGGGCGATAATTTAAGTGAAGATCCCCACACTGATTGCAGTGAAAGGTTATTTATTTCAACAATAATGCAGGACACAAAGGGGGAATCTGGGCAAGATTACCAGCTAGGGTACGCTAGAGTGCTCATCTTCAATGGAGCAGCGTGTAAATTGGGTTCACTTTCCCCAATGAAAATACAGACTGCAGTTTATTTCAACTTTATGCACATGGAAGGCTGTGCTTCCCTCTCAAGGGTGGCTGGGGACTTAGAGATGGCTGGGCATATGAGGGGAGGGTGGGCTTAGACCTTGAAAAATGCCCCTTTTGTCCCTGAGTCTCTGGAAGGCTGAACTATTGAGGTATGGT